CCTCCGACGTCGTGGGAGCATGAAGTGGTGGCCCAGAAGATAAACAGGGGGCGAAGCGCGCGCCTGCCCCCTCCCCCTGCCTCCCTGCCGCGCCCACCCCCGCACACGGTGTCGCACCGTTCCACGTCGTGTGGCACTCAGTTGCCTCCTACGCGGGAAACGGGCACTCGCGCGAGTCCCCCAGGAATGACATTTCCCTCCACCCTCAAGACTCACAGCGGCAGAGGGGAGACGAAGCCCACGAGCAAAAAAAAAAAAACCCTGATTTTCACTCTCCTCCTTTTTTTCCCCTTTTTCGGTTCTTCCCCATTGTCTTCTCACCAAATCTAAACTTTCCCTTTTTTGTTTGCTTGTATTCTTTTCGCGAAACCGCCCAAATGTTCGATGAGATTGTTTTTTTTTTTTTTGTCCCTCCTTTTCTTCTTCTTTACAGAATCGAGAGAGGAGGGAGGAGTGATGCGGCCACGGCTTTTTTTCTCACTTCCATCCACCCCTCGCCTCTTCTCCTACAGCCGCGTCCTATCCTCCGTTTCTCCCACTGCTTGCATGGCGGCGTTGTTCCTCTTTTTTTTTTCTTCTTTTTCCTCTTCATTTCGTTCCTGTGTGTTTTCCTTGCGGCTTCCGTTCACCCCCTCTCGCCGCAGGTGCTCTCCCGCGTTCCCCTACAACTCCGCCGGGGGCACATTGTTGGCGAGAGCCTTAAGGACGCGCCGCGCGGCAACGTACGCGCGCTTGTTGTACGCCAGCCGCGCGGACTCCAACTGTGCCTGCGCCGCCCGCAACTTCGCGGAGAGCTTCTTCACATCGCCGGCCTCTGGCAGCACGTTCGTGACGGGTTGGCCGCTGTTGTCGCGCTCCTCTGCGCGGACGCAGCGTTCCGCATAACTCGGGTCGCTCGCTGCCCGCACGGCGTCGAGCTTCATCCGCAGCTGTTCGCGCTTCTCGAGTGCGGCCTGGAGGGAGGACACCTCAAATTCGCTTGCCGAGTGGAGTGCCACGCCTGCCGCCTCAGCCGCCGCCTCCACTTGGGGGCGGCGAGCCTCGTTATGTTCCGTCAGCTTCGACAGCGCCACAAATGCGCTGCCGTCAAGGTAGGAAACAAATGTCTCGCCCGCGCAAAAGAGCATTGACTGCACGGCGAGACCGAACGGCGGCAAGGCCTGCTGCTGCGCCTCCACCGTGGGCTTGCCGGGGTGGTAGTACACCACCTCCTCTTCCTTGTCCTCGCTGGCCACGAGAGGCCCCTTAAGGTGCAGAAACTTCTTGCGCCGCTCCTGAATACGCAAAGCATATTTTTCCTCCTCTTCTTGGTCCACCCCGGCGAAGGCTTCACTCTCGACATCATTCTTGGCTTCCTCCTCCGCGTCTTCCTCCGGGGGCAGAAGGCCGAGGTCACGCTTAATCATCTTTAGTCGCATGCGGATATCAGCCACTACCTCCTGTCGCTGCCGATGATCGCTGTAGCGCAGACTGCCCATGTCGCTGTGACGCAGCAAGCCCAGGTTGAACGTCTCCGACATGGTGCCCTCGTGGCCCATCCAGTTGAAGCAGTGCGTCTGAACGAGCGCCATGGTGCCTGTTTTTATGCCTGATTGCGGTGTTGGTGCGTGTGTGTGTTTTTGTGTTGTTTTTTGTTTCGCTATACGTGGTCAGTAGTTCGTAACAAAAATAGCCTTGTTTGGGTAAGCTTCAACCGGAGGAAGAGACAAGCAAGAAACAGAGCACACGGGAGGAATGAGAGACACAGTGACCCCTCACACGGCTGCGGTGCAACCACTACGAGGACGAACACCACTCACGCACTGCCCGAAGAAGGGAAAAACAGCTAGAGATGAATATACTTCTATTTCCATATATAAATGTATATATATGTAGATATGTATAACGCAGACAAGCAATTGTGCGTTACACCAAAGAAATCGGCAAGCGAAAGTATTTAAAAGTGACTTGAGGAACAGCAGTAGGCAGCAAAGAGAGTAAGCGAGACCCCCCCACCCCCCCC